ATTATATAATTGATATAGTTCAGATAATATTAAAAAAAAAATATATATATATATATACATTACAGGTTAAGTTGTAAATATATGAATGCACAAATATTTTTATTGTAGTGATAACTTTTTACACTATAAAAATCAACATTATGTATAAAAAATACAAAGAAGCTCTTTATGCTTTCAGACATTAAAATAAATATCTATGTACATATATCTGCACATAAAAAATATGGAAATTACCGATAACACTATATGTAAAATGTTAAGATAATTTTTGACTCGGTAAAATTGAAATAAATTACTATCCTTGTGCGATTTTTCTAATATATGTAAAACTCTATATTTCTAATTGAAACATGTGACTATACACCCAATAAAGGGAAATAATATCTTCCAAAGAATAAATATACAATGATCATTATCACTATATATATCATATATAAGAATAATATAGTAATTATCCCAATAAAAAGAAAATATCGCAAATAACAGTAACATTGTAACATCAATGTTATAATCCCCTACTCAACGATGTGTAATTGCTATATGTATGTATTATGTCGCACTTTCAGTGTGAGTGGGAAATTGACGTAACGATATAATGCCACTGTCACATGATATTCACTGGGTACACCTTTAATTACGTATTCGTGCAGTCATGCACGATAAAGGCACATCGTTCGTGAATGCGTGAAAGTCTCGATAATGGTAGTTAAACGAGATGTGTGTCAACTCACGCGCACGTCGAAGGTTTTGATCTGGTATTTGTATCTGGCATCATGCGAGGTGTCATGATCGGCTTGCCGGCTCTCAGCGAATTGGCGATGAAGTGTCATCTGCAACGTCGTCTGGGACAGTGCTGACACAAGCAGCCAGATGATTGTCAGAAACGTGTCGTCCATGGTGCAAACTCGATGAGATGTAAATTCTCACTGAAATCTCAGTGATATGTCAGACAAGCCGGATAACCCCGGCCAGTGATGTTAGTAGTCCCACCATATAATCAAGAACAGGCGCTTTCGCGCATGCTCACGACGGAATACTCTCTCAGGAAAGTACCTCTCTTAAGTCTGATCTACAATGTGTTCTTTGCGTCTTGTTATTTGCTCTCTCTCTCTCTCTCTCTCTCTTCTATAAGTAAATAGAAGTTTTCACAGAAGAAAAACAGCAAGAAACAAAACAAGCAAAGAGCACATCGCAGATCAAGTTTTAGGAAAAGACAGAATACAAATGCGACAGTTTAATAGACTCAGTCATGATTTTCAATTTTTCTCTCAGTTTTTTTTTTTCAATAGCAACATTTATTATCATTCGATATAAGTATTGAGACATGTTAATATTAACTTGTCTCGATTTGTAATACAAGTTGCTTTCGAGCAAGAGATACAAGTCAACACAAGTTGCTCTCTAGTTACATAATCTATTATCCTTTTCTTTACCGAGTGCGAAATAAGGACAAATGATGGTATATAATTAGACTTGCGTCTCTTGCTGCGATCATAAACGTTCGCTGAGCTGATGAAACCGTTGTGTCTGTTGCACATCTTTTTGATAGGCACTTCTTGGGACGTTTCATACACATGCGCGGAAAGCACGGTTCGTCATTTAACATCACTGAGCCTAAAGTCCTCCCCATCCGTGTTTATCCCCACCGATGTGAATACGGCGACTTCGTCAGCATGCCGTTATGTGTCAAAGGTCGAACGTTACGCTCCGCGCTATCTCTCTCAACCCATTGTGTCCTTCACCATTCCTTTCTTTCAAAGTATCCTGAAAGAAGTGGACGCAATTGTAATCCCGCATCAGTGTTACAATTGCCGCATCCCGCTCATTCCCTCATACATCAGGCTACATTTTATAGTTTCAAAGATATAATTATATATGAAAAATTATACTTTATTTTCACATAAATATAATTAATATCTTAGATAGTGTGTATAAAGTGTGAAAAAATATGTTAGTCTCCCTAAATTTCTTTCAATATTAAAACATAGATATATCGAACATATCTTTTTGAAGAATACAGTATTCGGGATGTTTGTATAAAAGGATGTATTTTATGAAAATTTTATAAAATTGATTGCATACTGAAATTTGTTATTTCTATTGTTCTAACATGTAATTAACTTCACAGCTATCAATATGGCTTGAATATAATTGTAAATGCACCTATTCATCATAGTATCTTTCTTTCTAATGTACAACATATATACACGCGACACACGCACACACACACAGACCTTTAGAACTTAATTACAGTTGTATCATTACTTTATCTTACACTGGAAACGACACTTCGACAGAGACATAAAATTCTTTATTACAAAAAATAAATTAATTCACTCTACATACAAAAATACATAACTAATTAATATTAATAATACTCTCTATATCCAGCGCGATACTGGTAAATTAATAATTACTTATTCAAACGCGCGATGTGTATCAATATGTCGGACATTCTTATCAAGATTCTAGATATAGATATACAAGCGCATTTAATTTATATTATACTCCGCGACTTATATACCGATACCGATAAGTTCCGCATAATTGGCGATTGCACACAATTGCATAAGAATTAAAGAAAGTAGAAATTGATCGATGAACTATGAAATCTTATTCCGGTTCGGTTAGGGGCGCTTTGCGTCCAATCTTTCAAGAGAAGAGATTCTACCGAACACCATCGGATACTTTGAACGCCCGAGAGAGTAAGTTGTTACTTAAATACACATTTGTAAATTATTAAGACTAAGTATAACGCAGATCTTCGTTACTCAGTCCCGCTGTCCACGCATTCAAAATCTTTAATACAATTTAGAGATTTTGAACAATTATACAAAAATTTCCTTTTATATACGCGTGAAAAGAGAGTCGCATTTTGTACAATCTTGATAGAAATTATCTTAATGTGACGTATGTATAAAATGTAAATAGACGCCTAATACTCGAAGGGGTAAAAACTTTGTTAGCAATGATTTATGTCGGAATATAGTATTTTCGTTAACGTACAGGGGGCGAGGAGGATAAACGTTACTCTTAAAGTCTATGTTTTACGACGACGATTCTCTCTTACTTCGTGGGCGAAGAAAGAAAGAAAGACCCAATAGAGAGATCCAGTCTTGCATTATCGTATTATGTCGTAATGCACGGTAGAAACACGTGACTAAAGCTTTTTCCTTTTGTTCGTGAGTTTGCATGTGTACCTTGTTGCCTTATAAATTATAGGCGCGTTATAAAATTACAATATAACGGTTATAGCGGCTTCTTCCTATTTTTCTTCTTCTTTTTACAGCATTAATTGCATTCCCGTCGTAAACGACTAACAATATGTATAAATCTTACTATCCGGTTAGAATGCTCGGATGATGATATTAACCAGATAATTGTACTTCAGACGTTCAGCTCTAGAACTACAGATCAGGACGTTCCGCTCTGCTTCGACGGGAAATCGAAGCCGGCGAACGCGGTAATAACAATTCTACCGATATAATACGAATTTCGTCTATATGTATATATTGGTCCCTAACGTAAAATCTCCGCTAACAGTAAAGTGTTGTACAATATAGTGCTTTAAATTAAAGACGAAGAAAATTCCTAGCCTCTGTAACTACACTTTATCGTTTCTATATGCGGGGGGGAAAAAAAAAAAGCTGTATTGCATACTGAGAGAATACTTAGTACGTACTTTAACATTTACTTTTGTACTCTGTAAGTGTAAGTCGCATTTGTTCCACTTTGTTTGTATACTGATACTCAAGTTCTTTAACTTTCGAGGCGTATCGCTCCTCCTGCTCCTGAAAGTCTTCTTGTACTTGATTCATGGCCTTTTTGTATCCGTCCTCGATACGTTTGCATTCGTCCGTGAAGAAATCCTTCCTTTGCTCCGCGTAATTCTGAAATTGTTTAGAGCGTCATAATTTGCACGACGATACGCGTTCCCCTGAAGAAACGATCGGCCAAACACCGCGCGCTTACCTTGTAATTGAATGCAATTTTCTTCGCCGTTTGGTACTTATATTTCCACACGTTCACATCGCTCTTCAAGTTTTTCTCTTTTTCCTTCAGCTCTTTAATCTCGTTACTCACTTCTTCCTCCTTCACCTTCAGCTTCTGTATCTCGTGACTCATCTCTACCTCCCTAGCTTTGATTTCCTTGACTTCGCTGGCCCATGTGGTCATCATTTGGGCCATCATGTTCTTGTCTTCCTCGACTTCGCTCTCCTTTCGCTTCAGATCTTCTTCCAGCTCCTCGATCCGCAACTGGCGCGTCTGCAGCTCTCGGTCGCAGATCTCCAGTTTGCTCTTCACAATCTGATTAACTTGACTAACCTGGCCGATTTTCATGCGCAGAGTCTCCGTCTCCTGATTCTTCTCGTCGTATTTCGTTTGCAATTCTAACACGGCAGTTTTGTACTTTTGCTCCAATTCTTTCCCGATCCTTCTCAGCTCTTTCGCCACTTTCTGTTCCATCTCTTCCCGCACTTCCTTCGTCATAGTCTCTTTCATTTTCTGAAAATCCGTACTACCGGCTCCACTGCGAGGCGACAGATTCAACTCGGACACTTGGTTCTGGCTCTTCACATACTGCTGAAATTGCTTAGCCTGATCGCTCAATTTTACGACGAGCTCGTCTCGCTCGTACTTAATCTTTTCGAGATCCTTCAGCCTGCTCAGTTTCTCGTTCTTGTCGCGCAAATCTTGTTCGAGCTGTTGTATCTTCTGCTCCAACGCCGATTCGTTCATGCGTCCCTCCTTCGAATTACTCAGCCTGGACAATTGTGCGACCAAATCCTTGTAATGAGAGAGCTCCTTCTCTAATTCGTTTCTCGAGTCTAACGAGACGTCGCCACCCTTTCGTATCCTGCCCTCAAGGCTGGCAATCTTCTTTCTCGCGGCGGCCAATCCCGCCTCCAGTTCGGTGATCTTCTCCCTGCAAGTGTTTCTCTCCTTGAGCAGACTGTCATATCGAGTCTTCAGCGCTTCGTTCTCCATTTGAAACCGGGCGATCCTCAGTTTCACGTCGTCCGAGTCCTCCAGCTTCGCGGTACGTTTCAAATTCGACAATTCCACGCCCAATTGGGAGACTTTGGCTGAAAGATCGTTCCTCTCGCTGACGGTGTTCTCGTATTTCTTCTTCCACGATTCCTGTGAGATTTCTACCTGCGCCATCTTCAATTTAGCATCGTCCAATTCAGTCTCATATTCGGACAATTTCTTCTGCTCTTGCATAGCGATTCGAAGCTTCTCCTCTAAACGTTTACAATCTTCTTGTAGCTACAATAAAATGAGATATTTTTTTCGGTCACGAAATTGTAAGATATAGATAAGTGAAACCTGATTGAATTTAAAATGCCGCAAATCTTATTAACAACTTCTGATAAAACTTTTTATTTGTAAGAATTCGTTTATACTTGATTGATCTTCTCCAGGTGCTCGGAACAATGGTCCGGCAGGAGGAGGCTTATTTCTTGATTTGGGTGCGCATTCCTCAGCTCATTTAACGCTTCTTCTTTCGCTTAAAGTGGTAGAGCATTAATGAAATTACTTTCCACATAAGATATATATCATCCTTGTTTCGTGCGACTCAATACTTACCTCTCTCTATTTCGGAATGTATCTTTTTCGTGTGATCCTCCTTCTTTCTTCTTTCATAAGCCAGATCTTTCTCCAGCTCGATTATTTTACTCTTGAAGGACTCGCATTCCTTAGTTAGCTTGTTACACAATTTAACTTGTATTTGCAGTTCGCTCTCCAATTTCTCCACATTCTTTTGATGCGATTCTATCGTAGCGTATTTGCTCATTAACGTTTTGATCTCGTTTTTGTGCTCAGTTATTAATTGCTCTTTCGTTCCGCAGACGTCTATGTACATTTTTTTTACATGATCTATTTCTTTTTCCTTTTGTTCTAGTTGTACGCTGAAAATAGAAGCTTTCTCTTTACGTGGTGATCTTACTTAAGCGCGTACTTGTGCTAAAATTATTGTCACAATCTCTAATAGCTTATAAGAACTGGTTTAAGCGCTTTCTGTATATAACTACTTACGATAATTGTACTATCTCCATTTGTGCTTCTTGCTTTATTCTTTCTATGGCTTTAGCGTGTATCTCTAAGTATTCTTTATTATATTCATCGATAGTTTCCTTCTCTTGTTGTTCCATAGTCTCTTGATGCAATTTCTTCAGTCTCTCTTGGTTAACAGCTAAAGCTTCCTCCAATCTTTGCTCCACATTAATTTTCTCGTCATGTAACAATTCATACTTTTTCTTCACGTCGTTCAAGTGGTCAGAGAGCTTTTGTATTTGAACATTCGCCTTCATAGCCTGGTCCGTTAATACAGATTTCAGCTCTTGCTCCAACTCGTTAACTCGTTTGGTATATCGTGCTGCTTCCTGGCGACACGAGTCGGCCACTGTCATGGCTTTATTCAACTCTTTTTCTCGTTGTGACAGCGTGTTCTCCAAACGATTAATCTCTTTTCTTTTTAAAGCTTGGTTAGCGAGACACCTGAAGGGACGTAAATGTAATGTCGCATGCATCAACAATAAGCGGAGACGTATTTAGTACGATGCCGAACGAGAAGGAAGAATTTAAAAGCCGAAGAGATATATTTCAGGTGACAATTACCTCTGTAGTTCACCTCTCAACTTGTTCGTGATGTCGTCAACGGGTTTCGATTTCTTGTGATGTTCACCTAATTTCATCTGCCTGATCGAGTCAGAATCGTCTTCTAAAGTTGTAGCGAGCAATGAATCATACTGCGCTACATCATTTTTAGCTGCCTCCAGTTTGTTCTACAATTTTGTAATACATAATCTCGTTTGTGAATCGATTTTTATTACGTTTTTGAAGCACGAAATTGATCTTCTCAATCACCTGTAACTCATGCACATTCTTGTGCAGCTCCTCCTTTTCCTGATTCAACATTTTCACCTGCGCCTGTAATTGCATCACCTGTTGGGCGCTATTTGTGGCCATGAGATTGCGGCATTGAGCTTGACTCTCCTCTAACGCTTGTGCCAATCGATTCATAGTGTCCCCCTTTTCCACCATGAGAGTCTCGTGCGCTCTTCGTACGTCATCTAATTTATGCTCGAGAGCGACGTATGACGTTTCCTGTCGTACACACACACACACACACACATACACACAAGTTAAACAATGTAAGAATTCAAATCAAATTGTATTAACATTGAAATGTGCAAAGCGATATTTATAAAACGGCCAAGTTTGCATCATATCATATCGTTTACCCTTAAGCACATATTACTGGGAGAATTACATACACACGCGTGTGTGTATGTGCATGTAAGCGGAATAATTATTTGTAAAAATTATACTATATACATTATACAGATGTAAGCTATAGTATACAATGTCATGACTTGGCAAATGCAAAAATAACCGAGATAGAGACTTGCCCAAATACTATTGTTGCTGGTGTCCATATTATGCAGCTATGACAAACATAATTATAGAGAAAATATGTAGTTATAACGCATGACTTAAACAAGGAGTTCAACGATACCTTGGCGTTCAATTTGTCTGTGAGAACGTCTATTTGCGTCTGCATATTTTTCATCTCGACCGCGTGTTTTTCTTGCGCCTGTTTCAAAAACTTCTCATGCGTCTTGTCATTCGTCTGCAACGCCTGTGACCGCTCCAGTACAGCGATTTTCTGTTGCAAATCCATAACAGAGCCCCTTGCGATATTCAATTCTTCCGTCACCTGTAAAAACAATTTATTGATGAATACCGGGATATCGGACGCAAACATATTCTTACATTTTGATTCGTCCTCTCCAAGATCGCATTTTTCTCCTTCAGAGACTCCATTTGCATTTGCAGACCAGCTATCTCAGCCTTAGCGTCCACTAAAATATTCAAGACATTGATTTCGGAAACATGATCTCGTTATTTCTTAAAATAGAATTCCGATACTACATTAATTTTCTGCAATAATTTTAACTTAATAATATTAAACAGACAAAACAATTAAGGCTACATAATTTGATAAGATTTCATTTATTAATCGTTGTGCAATCGTTGTTTTTTTATCAAATAAAATACTGAGAAAACACACATTTTGCGATCATTCCCTTTACATAATTCTATTCTACAGACTTCAAGATATATTCATGATTTTTTACCAGCACTTTAAATACATAGCGAGGACATAAATGACCTCAGAGTAGGGTGGCAAAAAAATGTGCATGATTAGAGATAATACTTTAATATAAACCCCGTACCGAGCGCTTGTTGCGCTTCATTCTTCGAGATATTTGTCCTATTGACCTCCGTCTGTAGCAGCATCAATTTTCTCCCCAACTGATTCTTCTCGTCCTCCTTGGCCGACTGCAACTGCTGCAGTTCCTCCGTCAAACGCTCGATCTCCCTTATTCGAACCGTATACATCACTTCCAGTTGCTCCTTGCTGTTATATTCGGCAGTTTTGTACGCTATACCGTCGTCCATTGGCCTGCCATTCGGACTAGTCTTGTAGCAGTGATTCATATGATCTGAGGTAGCATTGTCGCCCCCTCCGAACTCGTGCTTGCTTTGTACATTATTCTTGTATCTGTCTGTGAAACCGTTGTTCGAATATTCCTTCGAGTGCACGTTATAATGATTCGACGGTGTCTCGTAGTTGCAGGGATAATTCTCGAATGTATATTCCTCGGCCGGCTTGCGGTACATTTTGCGGGTGTACCCGGTGTTCGGGGGTTTCGCCAATTCATACGTCGTTTCCGGCACACTATTGCTGTCGTTTAATCTATTATTGACAAATGGAGTACCGGTTTGTCTGACTCGACTATAGTCGAATTCGGTCACGTCGGACGCCTGCATCGTCCCGTCACCACCCACGTCGGAATCTGACCTGTGATTCGTTATCACATTGAAATCGTAATTATTTACATTCTGCATGTTATTGTAAACGCCGTAGTCCTTCTGCGACTGCATCGCTGCCTGATCTCTGATAGGCGTAACCGACCGCAAGCCGGAATTGATCACTGTATTGGTACAGTCCGTGTCTTTGACACTGTCCTGGTAGTGACTGCTATCGATAGAACTGGCGTCGTCGTCCAAATCGGCCTCCAAATCGGCAAATACATTCTCCATGCAATTTTGGATCTGGAGGGACAATAAAAACATGCGTCACACATTTCCATGCCTCTCTTCTAAAACGCATCATGCTCATTCTATAGAAAAAAAAGTATACACAGTAAGTTTTATACATCGTTCTTTCATCACGGAGGAACACTAAGACATCATGCTCTGCATTATTAAGGAGTCTCCTTGTGAATTTTGTCTCCTTTACCACGGAGAATAAAGAAATAAAATAGCTCTACACAGTGGACTTCGAAGATCGTTTTTCCAGTGTAGAAAACAAAATGCAGCGAAACTTTACGTAGTGGACCTTATACATTGTTTTCCACCTGTATATATATATCGCGGAGAGATTAGAATATTCATTAGAGAATTCGGCCCCTGCGTCGCAGGTTACAATTCGGAGGTTTCTTTCACGGAGGGAACGGTCCTAGCGGACCGAGAGACGACCGTACCTCCTTCTCGCGCCTTTTGATATCCTCCTGCTCCTCATCCTCTTCGCGACCCTGCGTCGCAGCGTTTAGCTGTATGTTGTCCGAGCCCTGGAACAGGCTCAGCCCTGGGCCTGCCTCCATGCCCTACGCCAGCCGTGCACCAGCACTCAGGAACGGGCAGCCGCGCGACTGGACGCGTCCGTGCGCAGCATATTTTTGTTTATAAACGCCATAACCTAGACGCAACAAGTGGGTCACGGTGTTGTTGTATACGATGTGCTGCGCGGGCTATCGCGTCGCGGCGCGCGCGACGATGAGAGAAGCGCGCGACGCACACATCCCTCAATGGGAAATCGCTACGGGAATCGTGACGAGAGAATCGCGGACGCTGCTGGCTACCACCGCCGCTGCTGTCTAAATGCGCGCGCGCGATTATTTACACGCCTCTACGTATATCGTACAATATAGCGAGCACTACACTTGTAAACAATCTCCCGGAGGGCGGCGAGCAGTACCGTAGGAAGCCCGCACGCGGAAGTAGTCTCCCGCGACCATCGCTTGTTCACCATTGGCCAATCGTCGACGGTTATCACCAGTTATCGTTCGAGCTTCGCGTGTATCTGCCGTTCCCGGGCGTTTTTTCTCACTGTCGTTTACGCGCTCGTCGAGATCAGCCAATTTGTCTGATGTCGTGTATAAGAGGAAGTAAACTATATTTGTCTCATTTAAATTGTAACGATTACGATTATATTCGGTCGGTATGTCAGGTCTCATAACCTAGCAAAACTTGCTTCTCAAGGCTTCATTAGTAGTTTGCCTTCACAAAAAATGTTTTTTACACAATAAAGAGTGACGACTTTCGTATCGTGAACATTATAAGAAACGATGTAGTATGGTATGCATTATATTATTATTTCAAGTAAATTGTAATATATGAGTTTTAGAAAGTTTGGTGAACAAATCTTTCAAAATTGTATAGGCACAGGAAGAACGAATGAACTTCTCTCTGAATGTTTTATTCCAGGAATGTTATATTTAAAGAAACTTGGAGAGGTTGAGTGTAATCTATTGCGTGTGTATGAAATAGGAAAGTTAATAAAAGTTAACAACCATGAGTAAACAAGACTCAAGATCAAAAACATTTAAGCGTGCTGAGAAAAACTTGCAAAACAAATTGAGCACTACATTTTTGAAGAACTATCCACATCATCTAATGCCGGGTTACAACTTGAACAAGTCGCCATGCATTGAGGAATGGGATGAAGAAAATATTATAGGATTCTTTCAAGAATTTCCATATAATTGTGACTTTCCCAAGCCTTTATTACCACCAGCAAGGTTACCAAGAACAGGTATTTTAATATTAGTTAATAGTTTCAAATATATTTGTTTTAAGTTAATCTCTCTTTTTTAAATATTTTTAAAGCATTTTTTTTTTAATCTTGTAACATATTTTATATATATAGTCTTTGTAACATTCTTATATTAAACATTTAGAATATATTTTTTTTTCCAAACAGTACTTAGTGAGGAAGATCCAGCCTTACAACTTCTTACTGTCAAAAACCATTTAAAGGATGATATAAATAGAATAATAAATTATTATCAGAAACATGAAAAAGGTTTGTATATAAAAATGTTAATATATATATATATATATACACGCATATATACACACATACATATATATCTTATACTGACTTAATAAAATATATTTCTACTAGAGTTTGGTGTACCCAAGAAGAAGACAAAGTGGAAAGTAAAAAATAATGGATCTAATGCGTACACAAATATACCGAGATATGTTGCAGATATAGCAGAACTAATCGAAATGAATCCTGATCCTTATTTTGAGGAGGTACAATTTTCAAGTTATATTTTTCCAACACTGTTTCTCACTAAATAAAATATGCGAAATATTCTGCAAAATAATACATTATTATAAATAATATTTGA